ACTAAGGCAGGCAGTGGTGGGGTCCCCGGGGTTCACTCGTGTGAGCCTCTCCCGGGAGCACTCTGATGTCCAGGAGATGTGCTGAGCGAGTGCACCCCACCCCGCCCTGTGGTCTCGGAAGAGGAGCCCAGTTAACTGTTGGTGACAGCAGTTCTTTCCGTCATAACTTCCTCAGCCTGGACCATCCCCATAACCACAGCCACACCTCCGTGGCTACATTTTATTTTAGGATGATGAAACAAAGATAATTGATCAATTAATCTGTTGGTGTTTTCATGACACCCACGAGAAGGGAACTGGTGTTTTGTGGTTCGGTCTGTCAGGGTTCGTTTGTGGTTAATTTGTAGTTTGTGCTGCCACCCCCACCCCCCCAGAACACACTCATTCCTGATTCCCCAAGAAAACCAGCCGCCTCCCCGAGCTTGGCTGCAGAGAGCTAAGCACAAGCTGGACAGTGGCCACACCCAGTCCTTCTGCACCCCAACATTCTCTGGAGCCAGGGAGCGGGGTGGCAAAGAACCAGGTCACACTGGCTCAGGCAGATCCTTCACGATGGAAAGAAAAGCAGTCAGGAGAGCTATCAGCCAAGGGTCCGTGACTCCCAGGACTTGATTTGGGGGAGCTGTGCTCAAGACAGTTGATTCCCATCTGTGCACTGTCGTCTGCTCTTTGGGACTGTCAGAAAGCACCTCAGCACCCCAAGAATAGCTAGGTGGGTTGTCAAAGGGGCCATCGGGGAGAGTTGGGGGTCCGAGAATGTGTGCAGCGCAGATGGCATTAGATTCTCTTGTTTGGCATCTGGGGTGAAGCGCTGGTCTCGGGAAGGAGAGTTAGTGGTCAAATAACGGTCCTGAGTCCTTTATATAATTGCTGATCCCCGAAGGACCAAACTTCTAACCTCTTGATGTAACTGGTGAATATTCCTGAGTTGAAAAAATCAAATAGGCTTCATCTCTAAACAGCTAAATCATACATTTTGGACTTTTTAAAACAATGGAAAGGCTTACACACATTTCAAATTGCTTATAAGAAATATTCGACCAAAGGGAGCCGCAGTTAGGCTGACCAGAAGGAACGGTCACTTCCGTGCCAGTCAATCCTGTCGGACTCGAAAGAGAAAGACTGTGATGCGGCCCCGCTCCGCCGTCACGAGTTTGTTCCCAGGCGTCCAGAACGGGGTTCCTGAGCGAGAGACAGCAGAGTGGGCGAGCGAAGGTCCCAGCTTGGCCCATCCTTCTCGGGTGCCTCATGCACCTTAGCCTTTCATTCAGAAGATGCAACTCCTGGTGCTGGGCTTTCGTGAGTAGGAAGCAGTATACGGTGCTTCTGAAATTCACAAACGCTGTCCGAACGCTGCCGGGAAGGACGTGAAGCCGACTCCGATTAGGGCACAATAGCACAATAATTACAAAGAAGAGCCCACAGTCTGCACGGTCAGAAATACACATTTCAATTAGGGTTTCTAAGGGGAATCCGTAGGGCCTACATGTATATTTCTGGCTCTAGGTGGCCTCTAGGGTCCATTCTTTTCTCCTTGCATACGTGGTTCACATTCTGCTAGAAAATACCAGAACTGCTCCATGTTTTATATTTGTTACTGGCAAGATTTATTTTGAAGGTACTGCTGTTTGAGTCCTTACAGAAAATACTTGGGGGGAAAATATGACTCATGGCTGAAGCTAAATTCAGAGGGTGTAATTAACACCAGGGGTTTTCTTGGAGCAACCTGGCTGCCAAACTGCAAACCATTTACAAATAATTACAACACCGGTTTTGCAAAATTACCCATAATGATTTCAATCAGAGCAGCCATCTCGGAACAGAGTGCACGTTGGGACCCTCTGAATAATTTTCTCCGCTAATGTGTTCTCTAAAGCAGCGAGCCTGAACACCAGGGCCCCTCCTTCAGCCCCAGCCCCGCCCGCCCTCAGCAGGCACTGGGGACTTGTTTTTGCAGAGAGCTCAGGAATTATTTCCTTTGCTTCTTATCTAATCTTCGAAAAAATGGCTGCCAGTAAACACTGGAAGATGCATAGAACAACTGGTTAAACAAATATTGCTCCTTCCACATCTTGATGTGTTAATGATAAGTTACACAGCCACCAAGTTGGTCAGAGTCCCTGTGATGTTAGTTGAATATGCACTTGTCTTAGAAATCTCTCACAGGGATGGTTATGTTTCTGCACACAGGCCCCAGCTCTTTCTTTTAATTGATTATAACTCAGCTTTTTCCTTTGGCCAACAAAACTCTGTGTTATTCACCTCTGAAACTCCAGTACCTAATAGCCCACTGGTACTCAGCTCATTTAACGCACTCTAAATGACACACCCGAATATTATATGAAGTAAAATGCTCTACATTCTAGGAAAAAGCAGTCCACACATACCAGAGTAATATGGCTGTCACTCAGATAAGATGATCGCACGTGATAGTGTTCTCACTTTGGTAGACCTTACACCGTAGTCTAACTTGGTATAGTTCAGTGGTTTCTCTCTGGTTCCAATGATATTTTTTCTGAAACAGATTCAAAGATAGGAGAGCACCTTCATCCTGCAGGGATTCCTTGGTGAGATTTTTATTCATAAGAGACTTCACGTCTCTTTTCACAGATAAGTCTTCTTTGAGATAACTTTTTTAAAAAGTTTCAAGGACAGCCCTTTGCCTTAGTAATACAGAATCGTTGAATTTGGAGTGCATTTCCTAAAAGTGGATGAGCAGCTTATGTTTTGTGCTCTCGTACAGTCATGAACTAGCCAGTGATCTTGGAGCCGGTCAGGGTGGTGTCTCCAGGGTGTCACAGGGAGACCGTGTGCTCCTGCGCTTGCACTTTGCAAACGTGGAGACCGAGGCAGTGACCCGTCCAAGGCGGCGGAGCCCTGCGCTGCACGTGGCATCCTGAGCGTCCCGTTAGAGGGACCTTCCTCCGCAGGCGCCCGAGAAGGCTCCTCTGCTGCGCAGGTGCCCGAAGCAGAGTGCTGTGTGGCTGGGTCAGTTCAGCCTTCGGAGCCCACACTGCTCAAAACCGAGAGGAAATAACAATAATTTCACCTTTGTTTCCCTTCCAAGGGGACCTTGGGGAAGGGCTGGGTCCTTGCCTGGTGGGTGTGCTGGACGGGCCCCAGCGGCCACCGCCCTGCCTCCTTCTCAGGGCAAACAGGCCACTTGGCACAGGGTCCGTGTTGCAGTTCTGGGTACAGAGAGTTGCAGTGACCTGTGTCCACCTCCATTCAGTCCCAGGGCACCACCCCGGGTTGCCTGGGTCTGACGGTCTCTCTGGAGTGGAAGACTGTCCCAGGCTAACCGGGGTGAGTGGGTCACCCAGTTCGGTCAGAGAACAGGGTGTTTAAGTTCTACATCAGCACGGGTGCGGGACACAGACCGGTCTACCCTGGAGTCTCAGTGCTGGAGAACTGTGGTGATGCCACACCCACTGGACTGCGGCCTAAGCTTAGGACAGGCCAGGGGCGCGTGAGGAGCCTGCGTGCCTTGATGTCCCCGCAACGAAGTTTCTAAGTGTGATTGGGACCTGTGGCTACACAGTGAGACAAAAACAGGGCAAGCCTCCGCCCGAGGCCCCTTTGTCTTTATATTCCGGTTTCCCTTTTTCCTTCATTACTGGTTGGAGAAAACAAGCAAATAACAAGCCCAGCTCTTCCTAAACACTTGATGGCCAGGCCCTGAGGTTCGGCACCCTCGCGGGGCAGCGTTTCTGGGGCCCGTGGCCACAACAGCTCGCGCTGGAGTGTGCACTCACCGGGGGGCCTGGTGAATAAGTGCGTTTCTGGCCAGCCCCCGGCGTGTGCACTGCCGGGGCGTGTGCACTGCTGGGGCGTGTGCACTGCCGGCTGGCTGGCCAGGGCTCTCCGCTTCTCCCTGCTCCCTCTGTCTTAAAGGAGCAGCGGACACGGCCGTTTCCAGGGGCCCAGAGTAGCTGACCGAGGACAGGGGGCTGGACTGGCCTTGCCAGCAGCCTTCTCACAAGTGGCCAAAGGTATACTTCGGGAAGATTAGGTCCAGACCCTGATGACAAGCCTTTCCTGGCTCTCGTCACACATTCACGGTCCAGAGGACAAGCCAGGACAGCCCACGCAGGTCACTGTTTTCTCGGCTCCCACACGTTCTCGCGAGGCCGTGACATCCACTCCCATGTGTCACGCAGAATTCCCGTGTGTGCTCAGTCTTCATTTTACCTTTCACGGCAGACACTCTCTCACCCCGTTGCTTCAGCATATACTAATGGAGTAGCGTCTCGTAAAGTAAATCAGCGCCGGTCACATCCCCCCGCCCAGCCGTGGGTTCGGGGTTCTGCCCGCTGAGCGCGAGCCGCAGGTGAAGACAGACAGGGACCCCTTCCTGCCGAGACTGCTGAGCTCACGGTTCTCGCTCTCCTCACAGGGACGAGGACTGTTGTGATGGTCACTTGGCTACAAGGTCGAGGAGTATCTCTCAAACAGTTGAGCCATATATGCAGGACACTGACAGGAGACTTGCTGATGGCCACCTGGCTTTATTTAATCACAGCCGGAAACTTAAATGATTTTTCATGAATCTAAGTAATAAAATTGGGGAAGGGCTGGGTCCTTAGCTGTCCAAGGAGTTTTACTGTGTGCATGTACGCTTTCTCCGTAAATGCTTCCACCTTCCCATATTTCAGGCTAGTTCTCAAAATACCAGGTTATAAAAGTTAAATCTTTGGTTATAAGAGCAGAGCAGCTAAAAGAAAATGCGAGACCAGTGCGAGACGGGGAAAAGGCCTGTTTTCAGAATGGTAAGAGGCTGCACCTACACCGAGGGCGTCTCCCGGAACATTCCCAAAAGGTGCTAAGTTTGGGCCAAGTCTGAGGCATCTAATCGGAGTCCAGAGTTGTATACTCACTGCTTTCTAACCACTTGGATTTCTGAGAAAGCAAACGCGTCCAGCCCCAGCCCTTACTCCATGCCTTTCTGATGGACTGGATTTTCGGGGGGGGGGATGTCATGCTGATGCCCTCCGTTTCAGGGGAACCCAGCGCGCCTAAGCTCGAAGGCCAGATGGGAGAGGACGGCAACTCCATCAAAGTGAATCTGATCAAGCAGGATGACGGCGGCTCCCCCATCAGACACTACCTGGTCAAGTACCGCACGGTGAGTCCTTCCCCAGGGGTCACCCCCGACACCCCCCTGCTGGGGCCACAACACGCAAAGCCCGGGCCTGGTGGGGCTGGACAGAGTCCCTCTGTGTCTTGGGCCCTGGTCAGGGTTTTAAATCTCAAGACTGACCTACAGCCATTAGTTCATGTCCACAACAGGACCATTTAAAACCTCCAGCATGACTGTGGTAACACTTGTACCAGGATTGATGTTTCTGCTTCTTGGACTTTTGTTCAGTGTTGTGCCCTTCCCAGCACTGTTTGCTATTGGATCGCTGCTACCTCGTGGCGAGGTGCTGGGACTGCACACGTTTTCTGTCCACGGGAAACCTGCGGAGTAGGTTTTAGGGTGACTGCCCCATGCCGAGGAGATGAGGGCGTGTCAGTCCTACGTGCCAGGGTTGGCGCCCAGCCTGTGTGGCCTGCGAGACCGGCGGCTTCTCCCAGCCCTCACCCGCCCGCGCCTCCGAATCCTGCTCGCGGGGCGCCTGGCCCTGAGCCTTTCCTCCAGGCGGCTCAGCTCCCGTCCCGGATTCCCGTCCCACAGCTCTCATCCCAGCCCCCAAGTGAGACTCTCCCTTTCCTGGGTTCAGACTGACACCTGCCATTGCCACCCACACCCTGTCGCTGAGAGACAGACCGCGTCTGCGCTCTGAGAACAGGCTCTCGCTGGGGTTTCTCACCAGTAGGAAATAATGAACCGGAGCAGTGGTCTTGTTCAAATAGCCCCCGAGAAAGGCTTTCCCCAGAAGTGGGCTTCTTCCTCCCCGCCTGCCTTCTGACCAGCCCTGCGGGCGAGAAATGAGTCCTTACCTCTTAGGCTGACAGACAGCCGGTGCAGTGCCGAGCCCACGGCCGCGCTGCAGGAGGGGCTCCTCGCTCCGGAGTAGAAGCCAGGACGGGGCAGACGCCCCCGCATCCCCCCGGAGCGGACAGGGGAGGGGGACGCCTCTGGCTGTTGTTACGCTGGTGTGGCCCCGACCCTGTGGGCTCCAGTTCCAGCTTACCAGCACGTGACCCAAACACATCACCCCATCCTCCTCTTGTAAAATGGGAACAAAATAGCTTAGCAGCTTGTTACAAAGATTAGTTATAATATATGCAAAGAACCTGAAATGTGACTGACGCTTGGAAACTTCCAAACGTGGTAAATACAGTAATTACTGCCAAAATGCGGGCCAGGGCGGGAAATGCCTCCCAACAGAGGCCACCTCAGGTGCCAGTGTCCCTGAGAGTCCCGGTGGCTGCGCCAGGCAGGTCTGAGTTGGAAAGACAACTGGGCGAAACACCGAGATTGTTGGATTTCAACAACCTTGACCCTCCCCTCTCTTCTACTTCAAAAACTAATGTTTGCTGAATGCTGGTATGATGTAGCGACGTGTGTTTATTATACGACGTAACGGTTGCTTTCTGTTCTGGTTGTCTCTTCTGCAATGACGTTTGCCAAGGGAAGAAGCTTCTCGGAGAAATACGGGGAAAGACAGCTGAATCCCTTTGCTGTCCATGAAGAGGGAGCCCAGGGTGCTCTGTGCTAACTCCCTGCTGTCGCTCAGGAAGCCAGTGCCCTGCGGCGCGCCCAGGGCCGTGGCTGTGCCCCTTCCCAAGGGCAGGTCTTGGCTGAGATCATTTTGCCTGGAAAGCTGGCTTTGCTGAGCGATAGCTCTTCCTCCAGCCCCAGCCACGGGCCACACCGCCTTCTAGGTGACACCAGAGTGTGCCCGGCCTTTGGGGAGCAGTTTGTCATGTAGTCAGCATTTGTCAGACCTTGTCGCGTGCCCAGCCCAGGCCTGTCCAGGACTGTGAGAGGCAGGCTGCGCGACCACTGAAACCACTGAGGACTTCCCAGGAATTCTGCCGCCTCCTTGTGGCGCTAGGGACACGGTCACCTCCCGACGGCGAGATAAACTCGCACTCTGAACCAACTCTGGTGAATGAGTGGAGCTGGACAGAGTATTTGGTGAGGAAAGGGGGCACCTGTAGCTCTCGCTGCAAACTGCCCTGTGCTGGGCTCCGCGAAGCGACTGTGCCTTCCGCGTGGGCGCTCTGGGTGCCCCGCAGCCAGACCTGACACACCTCCAGCGGCAGCTGTAGAGGTCGAGTTGCACTGCCTGGGACAGCAGCATCCAGTTCAGCAGCAGAGGTGTGCTGAGTCCCTGCTAGGAAAAGGACAGGTCACGGCCTTGGACCCAGACGTGCTGACCCCGACCAAGGCTGCCTGCCAGGAGGGTTACTAAGGGCTGACAAACCCTTGCAGGCTCGCCCTTGGGACACAGTGAAGGCCTTTGGGCCAGTGCCTAGACATAAAAGGTGCTCAATAAATGGTAGTTTTTCTTTTTATTATTTTATAATTTTTTCCAAAATGTTTTTATTAATTTTTTAGAGGGAGAGGAAGGGAGAGAAAGATGGAAACATGAATGAGAGAGAAACATCAATTGGCCGCCTCCTGCATGCCCCCTACTGGGGGTTGAGCCCACAACCTGGGCATGTGTCCTGACTGGGAATCGAACCGGGACCTCTCAGTCCATGGGAGGATGTTCAATCCACTGAGCCACACCAGCCAGGTGGTAGTTTTTATTTTTAATAAAACTGAGGTCTATGCAGTGTTTCTGTGTCAGGGAGGTGGGTCACACACCTGAGTGGGAGCAACATTCTGAACTCGGACAAGCAATAGTTTCGCTTTCTTAGTTTTCTAGGACGTGCTTGTGTACATGTGCCCAGCATTCCAGAGCGTAGTGTGGGGTGCGCAGGGCTGGTGCTGGAGTTCTGCACGCCTGAAGGCGATGGGACGTTGTGGGGTGCACAGGGCTGGTGCTGGAGTTCTGCACGCCTGAAGGCGATGGGACATTGTGGGGTGCACAGGGCTGGTGCTGGAGTTCTGCACGCCTGAAGGCGATGGGACATTGTGGGGTGCACAGGGCTGGTGCTGGAGTTCTGCACGCCTGAAGGCGATGGGACATTGTGGGGTGCACAGGGCTGGTGCTGGAGTTCTGCACGCCTGAAGGAGATGGGACGTTGTGGGGTGCACAGGGCTGGTGCTGGAGTTCTGCACGCCTGAAGGCGATGGGATGTTGTGGGGTGCACAGGGCTGGTGCTGGAGTTCTGCACACCTGAAGGCGATGGGACGTTGTGGGGTGCACAGGGCTGGTGCTGGAGTTCTGCACACCTGAAGGCGATGGGACGTTGTGGGGTGCACAGGGCTGGTGCTGGAGTTCTGCACGCCTGAAGGCGATGGGACATTGTGGGGTGCACAGGGCTGGTGCTGGAGTTCTGCATGCCTGAAGGTGATGGGACGTTGTGGGGTGCACAGGGCTGGTGCTGGAGTTCTGCATGCCTGAAGGAGATGGGACGTTGTGGGGTGCACAGGGCTGGTGCTGGAGTTCTGCATGCCTGAAGGTGATGGGATGTTTTGGGGTGCACAGGGCTGGTGCTGGAGTTCTGCACGCCTGAAGGTGATGGGATGTTGTGGGGTGCACAGGGCTGGTGCTGGATTTTGCATGCCTGAAGGCGATGGGATGTTTTGGGGTGCACAGGGCTGGTGCTGGAGTTCTGCACGCCTGAAGGTGATGGGATGTTGTGGGGTGCACAGGGCTGGTGCTGGATTTTGCATGCCTGAAGGCGATGGGATGTTGTGGGGTGCACAGGGCTGGTGCTGGAGTTCTGCACGCCTGAAGGTGATGGGATGTTGTGGGGTGCACAGGGCTGGTGCTGGATTTTGCATGCCTGAAGGTGATGGGATGTTGTGGGGTGCACAGGGCTGGTGCTGGAGTTCTGCACACCTGAAGGCGATGGGACGTTGTGGGGTGCACAGGGCTGGTGCTGGAGTTCTGCACGCCTGAAGGTGATGGGACGTTGTGGGGTGCACAGGGCTGGTGCTGGAGTTCTGCACGCCTGAAGGTGATGGGACGTTGTGGGGTGCACAGGGCTGGTGCTGGAGTTTTGCACGCCTGAAGGAGATGGGACGTTGTGGGGTGCACAGGGCTGGTGCTGGAGTTCTGCACGCCTGAAGGTGATGGGACGTTGTGGGGTGCACAGGGCTGGTGCTGGATTTTGCATGCCTGAAGGAGATGGGACGTTGTGGGGTGCACAGGGCTGGTGTTGGAGTTCTGCACACCTGAAGGAGATGGGACGTTGTGGGGTGCACAGGGCTGGTGCTGGAGTTCTGCACACCTGAAGGTGATGGGACCTTGATGGGTTGGCCCCACGTCACCCTAGCATCTGCCACTGTATTTGCAAACATGACCTGTGTAATCCTTAGTGGTTTTCAGGCTGGTAAAGAATACACTTCTTGTCCTATCATTGGTTTTTATTTTTATTATTTTGCACCAATAGTCATTGACTCCCTTAAGTTCTTCCTGCTAGCTGGTCTTACCAGTGTTTCCGTCTAAAGCTCCCTGGTGTCTTGTGTCCTTCCTGCCGGTCTCCCCCAGAAGCTCTCCTCCGAGTGGAAACCAGAGATCAGGCTCCCGTCGGGCAGCGACCACATCATGCTCAAGTCTCTGGACTGGAACGCGGAGTACGAGGTCTACGTGGTGGCTGAGAACCAGCAGGGGAAGTCCAAGGCGGCTCGTTTTGTGTTCAGGACCTCGGCCCAGCCCACAGCCATCCCAGGTATGCGCACCTCTGCTGTCTGTGAGTCCCCCGCTTTGGATTAATGCACAAGCGCTGCACCTCCTAATGCACCTGAACAGCCCTGACAGCCGCTTGCTTACAGCCATCCTCATGATCGGTGCCCATGCAAAGCCGAGGTCTGCGTTGTGCCTCTCTGTGCAGGGGGTTGAGATGTCCTGGACTCGCAGGAAGGCTTGGCCACGCATCCTGGGCAAAGGCACGGTGTCATTTGGCCTGGAAGGGCTGATGCTAAGCCAGTCCTGGGGACCCCTCAGATGGGAAACTCCAGCTCCTGCTGAGCTGTGGAGGCTGACTGAGTAAGGTTCCCTTGCGAGACCTTATCTGCCATTATCATTTCATACAAGGACCACATAAGTGTTCTTAAGTGCTTTCTATCCGATGCTTGCTTACCTGCACAACCATGGTCCAGAGCTCTTCTCTTTGGGGACCCCAAGAGAAGGAAGACATGGTGCCTAGTTAGTAGGAAACCCTATCTGCCAAGGGCTTCGCAACTGATTAAACTGAGCCACTTGAAACAGCACAAGTGGAGAAAGTAGACGCTGGAAAAGCCCACCCATGAAGGACAGTCCAGTCTGCTGGAGATCATGGGGGAGCCATTCTAGGAGATGCAGGTCCGTCTCTCGGGATGCAGGACCGATTCGAGTGTGGGAATAAAGTGAGAGTTCTGCTTTTGGCCCAGCTCCCTGGCCGCTGACGGCCAGTCCCCTCATGGACCAAATCCCTCAGAGCAGACAGATGCCATCCGCAGGCAGGAGAGGTGGGCGCACAGCTGCAGGGCCATGCCCTCTGCCATGCTCCAGTATGGCAGCAAGACGTCCCGATGCCCCGGGGTCGCGGTCTGGCCCCTGCCACACCTGTCCTGTGTGTAGTGCTGCCCTGGCTCTCGGCCAGGCGGTCACAGTATCTCCTCCAGTGGAAGAGGCCAGAGGAAGTGGGCTGCCTGCCGCAGGCTGTACGTATGCGAGGGGCTATGCAAACAGCGACGCAGTGACATCAGGGTGTCGTTGTGCACGGATGTGTGAGCCTGACGGACGTGTGGGGCCCCAGGAGCTGGCAGGCGGGTCCTGCACCGTAGATCAGAGGCGCCAATGGGTCCCACCCTCTCGTGTTGCCAAGGAGACCCCTTAGCACCAGCTGGGTGAAGGATGTCTCACAGGCATTGGGCGAACAGCCAGTGTCAAAGGCACAGCACCTGGGTACAGCTGCAAAAATGTCCTCACTATTGCCTAATAGGTGCCCGAGTGGAGGCGGCCTGCCATCCTCGGCGCCTTCTTTCTTCACATTCTTTGGTCAGTTTTTTTCTTGAAGTTGACGATCTGGTGTGACTGTCCAGATCTGCTTGGCCTTTGTGGGACACTGAGGAGCTCAGAGAGGGGGAGGCTGGAGTAACTCCTCTGCAGCGAGACAGCTTCCTGATGGCCTTTGTCCAGGAGTGAGACCACAGGGACAGGTGGCCTGGGTTCGGCCTGCAGCAGTAGCTTCCAGGGTTGGAGAGGTGGGGGCAGGGTGTGTCAGGATCAGACGTTCCGGGAAGACCTTGTCCTCCGGGGTCCTGCCCACTAGGGATGCCCGAGTCTGTCTTGTTAATTGTCCAGGAGCCCCATCCACGCAGTGAGCACGGGGGGCTGCTGACCACACTCTGGGGCCTGCCCACACGGGTCTCCGAGGAGGTGGCCCTGCGCTGGCGTGGACTTACCCAGACGTTGCAGTTGTGCCTGAGAATAAACCCCTGAGTTTTCCTAGACCTACGTTCATGGTGGAATTTGTGGTCAGCAGGGTGTAGGAGGTGAGGGGCGCAGAGCCAGGTTCTCTTTGCCAGCCCTGTGGGTAGGGGGATCGTGCAGTAGAGAGAAGCACTGTGTGGTTGGAAAGGCGGCCCCGTCCTTCTGCCCAGCTTGTGGCACGTACCGCAGCGAAGAAATGCATCCCCCTGGGCACACAGCCGGGGAAGGCCAGCGGGAGGCTCAGGGGCTGCACCCAAGAGACTCACCTTAGTGGGAGGTAACCCTCTCCTAACCCAGCTCTGTGTTTACTATGGAGGCTTCTGTTCTCTCACTTTAATTTCATCTGCTCGCTGACCCCTAACCCTGAACTCACCCCGCTGTGCTGCTTCTGGCCTCGCTGAGCTTCGACTGGCCGGACGGTGATAACCTGCACTGACCTCTTCTCTGACCTTCGTCCGGTTAACTGACTAAAGTTGAATTAACCTTTGATTCTTGCGTTTTCTGTATTTGACCTAATTTTTTTCTTTTTATCTATTTTTTTCTCTGTTTCTGTCTCTACCTTCTCTTTTCTCCTCCCCTCCCCCTCCCTGTGTCTGTCGTCACCCATATCACCTCGGACGTCACCGGGACACCCCCACTGCCACCTTTGTTTTCAAACAACCGCATTCTGTCTGGGGACCCATTGCTTGGCACGCACAGCGACGCTGGGAGGCTCCTCTGCGTCCTACACCTTTGTCTCATTGCTTTTCTCTGCAGTGACTCTCCTTTTGCTCTGTTAGGCACTTGAGAACGCAAAAAAAATTACATTTGCTTAAAAGCCCCGTTCCCATGAGAATGATCAGTGCCCCTCGGAAGAACGGCCACGGCGCCCGCACTCCACCTGCAAGAGGAAGGTTTGGCCGTGGAGAAAGCCGGACCTCCAGACGTTTTGTCACCTCGTATATTTTTGCGCCACTTCCTAAGGCCCCCCGCTCAGTGGTGGTATAAAATATTTGGGAGCTCTTCTCTTTAAACAGCATCATGCTAGGTTCACAGAGACATGTCTGCCCCTCTGCTGCTCATTGCATTTGTTCTCCCCTGAACTCGATGTAGCAGATTTCTGAGTAGCCCTCAAGCTTGCATCAGCTTGTTAAAATCACCACGTGGCCCCCATTCTAACCCCATGCGCCCCCTCCGCCCCCATAGTTGGCTTTGCTTGCATTTCAGTGCCCGTGGTAAGGGAGCCGGACCACTGTGATTCACCTGAGATTCAATGACATGATGGCAAATTGAGTCACCCTGCTGCCTGTGCAGCAGAAGAAGCTGGATTTGTTGAGCACTTAGGGGCTGATCGCACACGCTGGGAGGCGCTGAGGTCCCCGTGTTATAACCAGCGTCCGTGCTAGCTCTGGGAGCAGCCACCCTTCAGTGCCCGGCACCTGCCATCTCCCAGGCGGGCTGAGGCCTGCCGCACAGCCCCGCTCAGCACAGAGCCTCGTGGCGGGGGGTGTGCTCCCCGATACGGCGTCAGTCAGTCCCCCGGGGTGGAAGCGTCCACTGTGAGCCAGGCATGAACTGGACACGCTCCCCACACACGCTCAGGCGGAAGGGAGGGCGCTGATTCGTGGGACACCGTCAGCCTGCCATACTCCCCAGTGCACCAAGCCCCTGACTGGTCAGTGGCTTTAGTGACATTTTTAAAACTGGTGAAGCCAGCTGCTCCTCCCTGCAGTGGGGGGATTCCTCCCCAGAGCCCGGAGAGGAAGTGGGGTGTTGGGGAAAGTCCCACAGAGACTCGGGGTGAGTCCTGCTGAGTAACATCAGTCTGTGCTGGGGATGGAGCTTCTCCCGAATAGAACTCCCTCCGTGTGGTCACCTCTCATTCTACATACTCATCTCTGAGCATCTCCACAGAAGTCTGATGTTTGTTCTTTTTGGGTCTCTTTACGTTTTAGTTCCATTGTTGTTTTTTAATGTTGAAAGACTAGCCTTCCCTGAGGGTTCCACGTGATCCCATGGTGTTCAGGGTGGAGCACTCAGTTTCGAGGCTCGGGTGCAGACAGCCCAGGCGGGGGTTCCTGGCAGCCCCCCCCCCCCCCCCGGGCAGCAGGAGCGGCATGGCTCTCGTGGCCGAGCCGAGCATTGAGGACAGGCAGGTGGCGCCTCCAGGCCGGAGGTGGGAATCCCGGGTCGGTTAGCAAGAGCTGTAGGGAGGGTAAGGGAGAGAGATCAGTCATCACACAGGTGACCCATCACTGTCCTCCTGGCCCCCAGTATACTCTTGATGTCATCTAGGGCAGAAGTCATCCAGGGGCACCCACCTTAGGAGGTAGCCGGCCCCACCCAAGTCCCAGTCCCACCCGCCCGTGACGCAGTGTCAGTGCTTCTTCAGGGACTCCTGCGATCTAGCCAAAGGGAGGGGAGGCCTGACCACCCTGTGCCCTCGGCCCTTCCCAGGGCAGGCCGGCCTGAGCTGAAGCAGCTGTGGGCTCCTCGCACTGGCCACGTTCAGACAGGCCCAGGGTTTGTAGGATGCCTGAGGACACCACTCCCCGGGGACACAGTTCTCCGCCACGGCTGCAGCCCCAGCCCCCCGGGAACCCCTAGGACAGTGGCCCGGAGAGGCCTGCAGGAGTGAGCGCTGCCCAGCCCCCCGCGCCCTCCTGCGCCCCTGCCGCCCAGCCTCCCCTCCACCGCAGGGTGTCTGCTCACTTCGGGAATCTGCGTGTGGCTGGTTCGGATCACGTTTTTCTACTAATGAGGATGCTGACATTGCTGTGTAGATAATCAGCGAGGCCTTTATGAAGTTTACACCTTCGCATTATTAAAGGAAATAACCGTTCTCGTGACCTCTCGGCGTGTTTTGATTTTGTTTGATAGTCCGGTGTCCTCCCGAGTGTCAAGTGGTTTCCTCCACCTCACATGCACCTGGGTACCTCAAACTCCCCAACAGGCGTGTCAACCGTACCCCAAACTCGCAGCCTGCTCAGTGAGCTCTGGCAGAGGGAATGTTTCTTTTCCTAATGAGGAGCTGTGCGTGTTTCTCAGCTGTCCGAAGAGCTGTACTTTGCAGACCCAGGAGGTGGTCTCTTTGGGGTCAGGGGCACACTCTAGACCACCAGGTAGACCGTTTGCAGCAAGGCCTGGGATTTCGCAGCTCTCTTTAAGACTCCACTCAGAGGCTGCTGCAGTGGCCGTGACAGTGAGGACCTGACAGTGTTCCCGGGCAAGCCCTGCTCTGCTGTGACGGCACTCAGGTGGGCTCCTCCCCACCCC